ACCAAAAAAATAGGGAAAAATAAACAAAAAAATAGGAAAAAAAATCCCCTACCCACAGTGCTATGGTTGATGCAGAAGCCAAGAAGGTTGTGCAAAACCGAAGTCCTGAATTGCATAGACTATATGTCCGCGCGCTACATGCGAAAATTGCCAAGAATTTACTGGCAAGAAATAACCTTGCCTTCGTCGGGCTGTCAGCTGAACATCGTTTTGCTACACCATCTGTGCCACAGCAGATCAATCTGCAGCGCTTGGTGTCTTCTGGGGATGGGTATTTTTGCCCTCAAGCCCCTTTGTCAGGCTCATGGTTTCCTAGTCTGCCGTTGCCCAAGCTGTTTGTGCAATCAATGTTTGATTGGGCCCGCCGGTTGCTTAGTGCGACCTGCAGTCGACAACATCAGTTTCGTGGAATTATATCTTCGCTGCGCGTGTTCCTCTGGCTTCGTCATGCTTCAAAAGCTGGGCCCTGCCAAAGCTTTGATGAAGGCATCATAGATCAGCAAGGATGAGACTGTTTTCACAAAGATGTCCGCGCGTGGAAGCGTGTGCTCAAGCAGTTGATCCGAGCTGGAACGATAACTTGGTCGTTAGCAGTTGTGGGCTACTCACCAACAGCGGCGGGTACAAGTCCAAGACCTTGGATGTCTGACGAGCCAAGCTTGTGGCTTCAGAAAGGGTGTTACATAAAATGGCCTTGATTTGAAACAGCAGCGCTTCAATTGCTCTAGTGCAGTAGGTAACGCTGCTGCTCTTCTTGACATCTTGAAGGGTGTTGTATCTTGTTCAGTTTTTAGCTGCTGTGTGCACCAAACGTGCGTCTCACAGTCAGCGAAGCAAGACATGCCTCACAAGACTGAAAGAAAGATGAAAGTTCAGTACTGGAAACACGCCCTCGTCGTTCTTGGATGTTCTTGGCTGCAACACGCGTCTTTGTAGGGTAGTAGAGAGGATCCGTAGCAAACTCAGCCCTCAAAATGTGCCTCTCTCATTTTCGGCGTTCAGGCGCAGTGTACAGCGCACCTCTATCTCTCTGAGACCACAGACATTTAATAGGAGAGACTAGCCGCAGTGTCACATTCTGCCATGGGAATGCACTGTGAGTCGTTGAACAGAAACATATCTGCAGCTCGCCTGACTGCAGCGCCTACCCAACCCTGTCGCAATTGCGCCATGCAGAATTCACACAACCTCTGGAGGGCTTGCAGCAGCGGCACGCATACTTCTCGCTGCCTGGTACAAGCGCTTCGTACCTGCAACGTCAGACCGCCAGTTCTCGGACTTGTCCGCACATCTGGCTGGAAGAATGTTTTGCGTCTGGTGCCTGCTGGACATGGAGAAGCCAGCCCAGGAGGCAAAATTGGGATGCCCGCAGAAGGCTGTGCCAATTCCCCCCCAATCTCCATTCAACCTCACAGGATTGGAGGACGACATAAATGAGAAATCTGTATTTGGAAGAGGTGCTCTATGAAGTCAGTGTCCCACGGACCATCGACGTAACGCCAAGAGATCCTGTCCGGCAGTGAAGAAGCTCTTTTTGCATGCAGCCTACATCGCTCGACAGATTTAGCACCGCATCCAACCTCTGCATGCCGGAGGACCGCAGCTTTGTCACCTATCACGTCACATGTTGCAACATGTCTGCACGAGCTCTGCGACAACTGCATTCTGCCTCGAAGGTTTTCTTTGCTGGTACAACTACTTTCCAGTCTTCGAGAAAAATGTCTGCTCCACAACGGTTCACGAAAGAGAAGTTCTTCACCTGTGACAGTTACGATGTGATGCAAATACCACGTGACGCATTCAGCCACAGATAAAAGACGTGAAGGCTGCATTTAAGGCTGCAGTGCCTCCGAGCAGCCGCACCAGGCAAACGGCAGAATGACCGGAAAGAGGCGCAACCACAGCGCCATTGCACTGCCAACAAGACTGGTCCGAGCCAAACTGGGCAACTCGGAACTCGTTTGATGCTCACAAGCAGTTGCCGGGCAGGTCGTGGCGTGCAGCAAAGGCTTAGGAACGGGCACCACGCGAGCAGCCTGAACCTGATATGTCGAGTACCCCTTGTGCTGTGGTGATGTTCAAGCCTTCGACCAAGGCCCTGGCAGGACGGGAGGGGGCAGCTGGAGCTGGCAGTGCCTCAGACTTGACCCGTTGGCCACTCCTTTTGATACCACGTTCGCGCCTTTGGCAGAGATGGTCGCGGCTGCGGCTTCGGGGCCTCCAGGTTGCAAAAAACCTGGCAACCGCCATGCACACTTGGAAAGGGCTGTCTATTGCTCTTTCAGCCAGCAGGTACAAGCAGGTAGAGACGAAGCTCTCGCTTCCTACATTTGTGTCCATTTGCTTCCTCATGTTGCTGTCCTGTTCCTTTCTCCGCCCGCCGGCTTGGTGCTGTCCACTCGCATGATCGGCCACGTCTTGCACTACCAGACCTCTGACAACATAGCTCTAACCATCACCGAATGTCACCGACTGCATCTCCAGGCCATCTCTTTCATCGTGGTGAGGCGACGGTTTCTAGCAACATCTGCAGGAAGAGCCAACTGCTCGCTCATGCTAAAGCCTGCATCGTGCGAGCACTGTCAGCTTCTCTGCCGTCAAGTCCTGCCACAAGGCCGCTAAGAGGCGCTTCCAAAAGTATTCAGATATGTTCATGGTGCCCTTCTCTAAGCTTTGCGTCAGGCCTTCCAGATCGGCTTCGGCTTCGCGGCCTTGCCATCCACAAAGATCTACAGAACCATGCAGCCAGCACACTCTAGCACACGAGTGTGTGAAGTTATCTGCGCCTTTCTAGAGAATCTTCGCGGGCACGGCGCTGCTTTGTCGGCAGATCCTCGCATGTCTGGATCGTGTCAAACTATCCGAGCGCTTGGTGCATGCAAGCCTCCACCATGCGAACCGTGATGATGCGCCCCTCTAGCAGTCCGTGGTGCCTCAGCCATGTGCTCTGGAGCAACATGTTAACAAAGACACGCAGGGAGCGAGGGACAGGACGAACACCTATGACCGTATTTTTGCATGACCTGACTGCTGCGAATTTTCATAATATGCATATCAAGCTGCATCTCCTTAATAGCATCTCTGGCATCCCTGCGCTCCTCGAACTCCACGTAGGCTGCAGACTTGCCTGCCGGCACCTACGCAAAGCGGGTCTCTCACAGCAAACGAGCTCTGTTGCTGTCTCTCCTTGCACCTCAATGCGGACAATCCTGCCAAATTCCCCAAAAGATGCCTGCCTTGGAACATTTGGGCAAAGTCTGCGGAATACGCCGAATGGCAGCCGGCAGAAGAAACCACAGCAAAACAATAAAATCAAGAGGAGGAGGAGCAGCAGCAGCAGCGGCGGCGGCGGCAGCAGCAACAATGGCAGCCGCTAAAGATCGGCTGGTGTTATAGCGGCAATAGCAGCAAGTCAGCAGCAAGAGCTGCAAAACATGTCAATAAGAGCAGCAGCCGAAGGAGCAACAATAATCACAACAACACTAGCCCAAGTAATACTGGCTAGTGAGAAGTGTTCGGTTGGGGGACGGAAGAGGCGGGGAGGGGGACAGGACAAAAGGGCCAACGCGTGTGCACGAGGAGCATGTGCATCTCGATCGAAAGGCTGATTCAGTTCACATGCATACCACATGCATCGCAGCCACGCCAAGCTCTGGGCAGCACAGTTTTCTTCATCCTGTCCATGATACCAGTGACCACCACTGTGCGCCTGCGCTTCGCCAAATGTTGTCCAGAAGGCATGCGGCGACGCTCGGCTTTGTCTCGGGTCCCCGCTCTGGTTTCCACGGCCGCCAGCCTTTGCCGGCTCCCTGAAAGCAACATACAGTGTATGTCAGAGCCTCAGTCTGGACTCACCACGCCTGGGCGTGTCCTCGATTGGTGGCATCTCCTGCGCCCTTGTTGATGGAATACATCTTTGATGACATCCCGTAACCTGCAATCTCACGTAGCTGAGCTCAGCCTGTATCAAGTGCACATCCAGTCATGAATGTAGACCAGGCGCTCACGCGAAGCTCAAGCTTCTGCAGGCAGACACGGCTTGCAGATCGCGTCGCTGGCGACACAGACGTTGCATTGCAGACTACTGGATGTTTGATTTCTCCCAGACCGTGAAAAGCCAAAGGAACGACCTTACTAGTCTGCACGCCTAAGCAACCGCCGCTCAGACAGGCAGGCATCCAGTGTCTCTTGCAGCCGATCTAGCTTTGCAGAGGTTGTCGCGGCTAAGTGTAGACGTGATGCGCACCAAGACACAAGAAATCCGTAGGCAAACTGCTCTTGCGTCAGGTCTCGGCCTCATCGGCCTTGTCCCGCAGGTCTCCGAACAGCTCACCTCCATAGTGCTGGACTCCGGGGTCCTCAGCGTCTCAGGCTTGGCTTGGCTCTGCCCAATCGAATCCTGTAAACGGTAAAGCCAACCCCATCCTTGAAGTTGTTGCACTGCTGGCAGGCATGCGCACAAAGCAAGGATGGAAGGAAGTGGATGCCCCACCTACTTACACGCCAGATCATATCAGGAGATTCTGTCAACAAGAATGCGAACCTCGTATACCATTCTTCGCGAGAAAAGGCCTCAGCGACCTGACGAGCAGTTCACTCAACCCGATGCACATGGCAGCATGGAGACACCAAGGTAGTCCACAACCCAGAACAAGACAAGTGACTTGCAGCAGGTAGTGGCTCTACCGATTTGGGGCTGCAAAATGCCAATTCCGCCCCGCGCCTGCCCTGACAGATCCTCCAACAATGCCTCAACAGCCTGCCCATGGCACAGGAGAACCTCAACGACCCAATGCTTTCAGCTCTCCTCAGAGATGCCACCCAATGCTCTGATGGAGGTCTCCAGCTGCTTGATCTGCTCCTGCATAGAAGCAAAGGCAAACATCAATGACTTCAACCAAATGCGCAAGCTTGTTAGGAGGATCCCGAGTCTCCTGCGCCGTTGGAAGCGGTAGAGGCATGTCTTTCAGCTTGTCCAAATTTGTTTGCTTCAGGGCACTCATGGCCTGAAACATGCCGCGCACTGAGCTCTTCCCCACTGACCCTTAGATCTAGGGTCTCATTGACGTGATTGCAAGCAGGAATGCATCCGAGAGACCATCCGCACACCATCCACAAGCAGCACTCGGGCTTTCCTTGAGAACTCTCTGTACTTCAAACTTTCCATTGTGCTAACCTGCTCAGCCGGGGAACTGGTCAATACTGCCTTCAGCAGCCGGCAGCTGACAAAGCCTTAATGGATTGCCAATGCCAAGCTGTGTTTAGAAGATGCGCCACCAAGGCATACGTGCTTCTTGGGGGCCTGGCCGGCATGTTAGAGAGGCATTGCGTCTGTTTCGGTTGCGGGTGCAATAATCCAGGTTTGCCGAAAGAGCGCCTGTCGTCAACATCCAGGTTGTCAATAGGTCTGCAGGTCCCAAGCCCCGAAAGCATCCACGCCTGTAATTGGGGCACCACGCACCAGGACATGTCGGGTCTGGCCAAACCTTAGCATGGCATGCCAGAGCGCCAGTCGGACACTTTGAATGAGATTTCAAACCGCACTGCAGGGGACTCTGACGAGAGCATGCTGTATACCTTGCGGCTCCTTCACTAGCAACATTGCAATCCAATAGTTGCCGCACTGCTTGCAGAATCACGCTCTTGGAGAAAGGCTGTAAGCTGGAGAGCTCCACCTCATCAGGCAGTCTAGGAAATCCATTCGGGAAATGATGGCACTGCATCCCAAGGCTTTGAATCACCGGCACTCCCACGCAGCCTGCAATCCACCAGCAACTTGCTTCACGACAAGGCCACCAGGAACTGCACCTGGACTGGCTCAATTGTCGGCCCATGCTTGCTCAACGTCACATGATCGGGCCAGCAGCATAGCGGCAAAGAAGCACCCTGATCTGCGGTCAGCGTCAGCCTCTGGTGGCATGAGCAACGGTAGACATGCAGCGCAGCCACCAGAGCACGAGGCCCTGGCACAGGGTTTGCCCCCATCGTGACCAACAAATTTGTCACGGCCTCAGGACTCACAGCATGCGCCGCGCATCGTTGCAATGCTTCTGTTTTCTCCTGCATGCATGACGATGCATCGGCGTGGCCCAACATAGGCAAAGCAGTTGCAGACTCTTCCCACTTACAAGCAGCGCGGACGAAAGCTACAGTGCTATGCTTGGTCAGGACTTGCAACAACATCGGCAGTCGTCTGACTCCACAACTGTAATCCCTTCCCATGATACTGAAATGCATCCCAATCCCCCTGCCCCAACAACAAATGATCACTGGTCACAAAAATGACGCATCATCAAGGGAAGGACTTATGTTGAGGCCTCTTAACTGCCCCGTGAAAGCCATCCCCTTCTCATTGGTAAACCACAGAGATCTCCAACTTCCAATAAACTAAACAATCAAGCTAGACTTTAAACTCTAGTAGCCTGACAAACTCGACGCATGTCACAACAATTGCAACAGATCCACAACAAATCCAGGGGGTCCACAGGCTGGAGGGGCCGGACCCCCGATCATATGCAGAGATCATGTCGCTATTAGGTCAACGGGGGGAAACAAACGGGTGGCCGAAGATATCAAGCATTACCAGGGGGGTTCCCAGCAGGCAGGAGCCTCTGAATCTCTGATACCTGACGGGATGGTGCGTTAAAAGAAAAGTTCTCCATACTTCAGGCGCCTATGCAGGGTAAACAAGAACTCCCGAAAGCACCAAAATCAGCTTTCTGACTATGACTTGTTGATCCATTGGCATGCAGGATCGGTTCTTTGAGTCTTGTTGCTGCGGCTGAACTGTCCTTCTTCACCTTACTTGTTTATTTGCGAGCAAACTGCATTGACGAAGACTGTGCCCACAAAGCCCGCATCAGGAATAAAGGCCTCAGGATCAGGAGCGAAAGCAATAAGAACTTGCCAAATCAGTCCTTCAGCTGCCAGCATAGGAGGCAGAGCTGAGTCTGGCCAGCTCGTGAAGTAGCTCGCTGTCCTGCACTGTCATAGCAGCATAGCAGTCTTCAAGCGGACTACCCGAACAAAGCGTTCCAGCTCGTACCCGAAGCCAAACGTGTTCACACTGCAGGGCAGCCTGCAACTGGCAGACGCTGCGAGTTACTTCTGACTTCTGCATGCCAAGAGCGGTTTGCTCATGTTGGCGAACTTGATACCTGGAGGATCCTGGAGTTAAATCTGTGGTGATATGGCATTGAAAAGAATATTTGTACAGAGTTGTTGCTCCGCAGGCGCTGAAGATTAGGAAGCTCAAGACAAGCCCACTTCATCAACATTGGACTCTGCCACGGCCTTCCACCACACTTGTCCTTGAGCCGCTTCAACATTGGAACCTCCCGACTCGGAACACGGGTGCAACTGAGCACATTGCTGCACGCGTGCAAAGGAACTGCATGGAAGGTGCATGATTGAACATATTGAACTATGGCGCAGACGATGCCACGTGGCGGATTGATATTCGGAATCTGAGCTTGAAAACCAACCAAGCTGACAACCTAAGATGACATGTCAAGGGCCCCTGCACCATCCGTGAGTAGCAGCAGGTGCTGCAGCCTGACAGACCACGGCATTCAAGACATCAAACAACCTCACGCCTCACGCCTCACGCCTCAAACCATCGGATGCGGCAGCGAGCAGCTGGATGCCTTCATGGCTAGGACGCAACCAGACACACCAGCAATCATGAGCAGTTCAGACGACAAAGCCTGTTTCGAGGCCAGCCTGCCAACCACAACGCTTCGCAATGCTAGCTGCACGTCTGGACAGAACAGATTGTGTGATGCAAAGCTCAGGGTTGAACCCAAAGGTTCGTCATGCCATCTGGAATCCTGCCATCCACAAGCATCCCAAACCCTCTGAACTTGCTTTGGTACATGTGGATCGCAAGAACGTACAAACCGCACTGCGTGCCATGCCTGCTATGCTGCATTAACTCGCCTAAGAGCTCAAAGCAGGAGGCATCAGGGACATTACTCCCACACCGTCACACCATGATGGCCGAAGGCAACAAGCCCAAGAGAACTGTGCTCAAATTATGTTTTGAAGGGAGGCTATCCGCCGCAACAACCCAGGCAAAGCATTCTGTTTAAGCAGGACACCACAAGAGTCTTGAAGTGGTAGAAGCTTTCCTTGTTTAGGCAAGGTGGCAAGCCTGTTCAAATGGGACTCCCTTTCATCTTCTGCATTAGGCCACGCCGATACCGAAATCCGCCAGAAGCACAGCTGGTGCAGTCGCAGTTCTGCTCTCTGCTGACCCTGCAGGCGTCCGATGCGCATGCTGTCCAATTTGCTGAAAAGAATTGAGAGGCCTCTGGGGTCATGGGCGTCAGCTCCAGGATAACGCTTGCCTCGCTTGAGCTCATCTTTGCAAACCCTGCGCTTGCCACATGCTCCTTGGTGCATCTGAGGAACCTGGCTGTGTTGCTGTAGGCTACTATGGCAAGTCTGTCTTTTCCATTGAGGAGCTGTATCACAGTCCTCTTCAGGCAACCCACTGTCAAGCTGCCAGATTGTTCGCAAGCGGGCTTCTGTCGTGCGCAAGCACATATGGTCCGCAAAGCGTGTTTGACAATGTCAAGGAGAGCAAGTCCATGGCCTCAGACTCAAGGGATCATAAGATTAGAAGTGGCATGACCTGCCAGCCGTGCAAGGCCAACTGAGGTCCGGCTTACTGACACTCCTGCACCGTCTGCCAGCATGGCCTCTTAGGGAATTGCACGTTTTGGACACCAACCTTCGCAACTTGCTCCTCCGCAGCCATCGATGTGGACACCTGCACGAGCACAACCGTTTGCAATCCAAAAGGCCTCATGAGTTGCCCAAGCGCCAGGCATCAACCACACAGCAAATGTCAGATGGTGTTCGCACATTCCCGGCAGGCGGAACCTTTCCGATGTAGCTACAGTTTAGGTGCTCTCGAGCACAGGCCATGATTTCAGCAGTAAACTTTAGTTGTGGCATGCATCCGAGGTGGAAACTAAGGAGATCAACACTTCATGGTCCGCCTCGAGCCACAGACTTGCAAAAAAAAACAGCCTTCGGTGCTCGCATCTTGTCTAGGGCTCACACGCCAGTTGCTTCCATGCCTGCAGATTGGCTTTCTGGATAGCATTTGCGGCTCACCACCCCTGCCAGTTCCAGCCAAGCACTGCATCGAGCCCGGAACCCATACAGCAACCGGTCTGATATGAATAGAAACCTACATTCAGGAAGATGCTGCGTCAGCCAAGCTAAGGGTTGGGTGGTTTAGGATGTTTTGCTCGACGGTGTAAGCTTTGTTGTTTATCATCCCAAATAAAGTTATGCAAAGTTAGACGTTGTTGAGCTGGGGACCTTCTGGTCAACAGGCCGGAACACGTCATTTGATCTTTGAAACTACTCATGCACCGGACCTCACCAAGATCACCAAATCCCGCGCCCTCCATCAGGAGTACTGGATAGAGAAACCGAACCAAGTCCAGAAGCCATCTCCAATCAGCAAAACGTTCAGCCTGCTTAAATGAAGCGAGCTTGGTCCTACCCATCGCACCAAGATCTAGGGCTGCCACACCCAGCTTCAGACAAACTGGAAGAGTTGCTGCAAGATGCAGCTTACAGACAGGGTTTCTACACAAAACTGGCCCTGCCAAAAGTCAACTGCAAGCGAGGGACGCAGGGCCACTGTTTCCTCATCTGGGGCCGCAGGGGTCACTTCCTCAGCCTGCGCCACAGTGCTTCGTACGCTGAGTGTTGCAAACATTCAGCAACCTGGGTGTTCTCATGGGGCAGGGGATCAGGTATCCAAAAAAAGCACGGATCAAAATTCAAATAAAGGAATGTGGGGACGATGGCAGCATCTCCTTTGAACCTGAACGTTCAATGCCACGTGATCAGGCACATCAACGTCAAGCTTGCAGTCCACGCAGTGTTTGCTTGATCTGGGCACTTCCAGCGTGGGGGTCAGGGTGGCCGCCGCGGGCAGTTAAGTGCCACTGTCTGCGACCCTGGCTTATATAACTCTAAAACACACAAGATACCAAGAATAGTACGACTAGTAATAATTAGTTAATACTGTTAATTTGAGGCTGCAAGGACCGTAACTTTACATTGCTCTAACTCTTTCGGCGTTGAGATCTTTGCCACAAACTGTAGGACCATACGTTGTAGCATGGCGCAGCATGAAGATGCAAATAAACAAGCAGCAAAATTGAAATGAATACCAGCATCAAGATAAGATTGCAGCCAGCTCATAGAACAAGCTATATAGCTCAAGGTAAAGGTCAAGGGTTGAAGGCTTAGGGTTGCATTTTAGGATCTATGTTTTAGGAGTTTAGCATTTAGTGGCCGACTTTGGGGTTTGGATTGCTAATGAATACTATACAGGGTTGGAGATGTTCAACCGGAAATGCAAGACAAGACTTTGCATTTAACAAACTCAAAGCAAAGAACCAGAGAGCAAGAACAAATGCAGAAATCAGAAAGCGAAAAAGAAGAAAAATCTTCCCTTGTTTTGCGCGATCTGCCGTTCTACCTTGCTGCTTTGGTCCCTTGGATTCTGTTGCTCCCGTCCTCCCTTCTCCAGTAAAGATAAAATGGAAATTAGGAAGAACGGAAGGAAGGAAGAAGCAACAGAGGATGGAGGAAAAGATGCAGGAAGGAAGGAAGGCAGGGAGGAAGGGAGGAAGGGGGGAAGGGAGGACGGGAGCAAGAACAACAGAAACCAAGGGACCAAAGCAGCAAGGCAGAACGGCAGATCGCGCAGAACAAGGGAGGAAGAGATTTGTTTTTTTGCGTTCTGATTTCTGCATTTGTTCTTGCTCTCTGGTTCTTTGCTTTGAGTTTGCTAAATGCAGAGTCTTGTTACTTTTGCGAATGCCCCGCCCTCGCAGTGGGGTGGTTACATTTTCAAAGTCTATGTTGTCCTCGCCCTCCGCGCGGAGCTCGACTGCAGTGCTCAATGGCAAGGTATCCCTGCAGTGCCCAACCACCAAGCATCCCTGCAGTGCCCAACCACCAAGCATCCCTGCAGTGCCCAACCACCAAGTATCCCTGCAGTGCTCAATGGCAACGTTTATCCCTGCAGCGTGCAACTGCAAAGTATCCCTGCAGTGACCAACAGCAACCGCAGAGTATTCCTGCAGTGCCAAACCGTTGAGTATCCCTGCAGGGCCCAACCGCTGAGTATCCCTGCAGTGCCCAACCACCGAGTATCCCTGCAGTGCCCAATCGCAGAGTATCCCTGCAGCGCCAAACCGCAGAGTATCCCTGCAGTGCCCACTCAGTGGCAATATATCCCTTCAGCACGCAACCGCAGAGTATTGCTGCAGTGCCCAAACGCGAGGTATCCCTGCAGTGCGCAACCACAAAAATCCCTGCCATGCCCAACCACCGAGTATCCCTGCAGTGCCCAACCACCAAGCATCCCTGCAGTGCCCAACCACCAAGCATCCCTGCAGTGCTCAATGGCAACGTTTCCCTGCAGTGCGCAACCGCAGAGTATCCCTGCAGTGACCAACCCCACAGTATCCCTGCAGTGCCCATGGCAACGTATCCCTGCAGTGCCCAAACCCACAGTATCGCTGCAGTGCTCAACGGCAAAGCCTCTTTGTCGTGCCCAGCCCTTGCAATGCCGAACCCCGACAGCATTCGGCCCTGCAGTGCCAAATTGCAATTTTCTTGCAGTGCATTTGCAGTGCTGCAAGGAAGATTGTTTGGTTTGGTGTGTTGGTGGACAGGGGGGGGGGAGGCACGGAAAACATTACATTTCTCATGCAATAACGGCTTTAGGGTGGGGATGCTCGAAGTACATAATTCAATCTTGCTTTTTGTTGATCCACATCCTGTTCTATGTTCAACTCGATCTTGCACGCTTGCAATCTGCTGTCACGCATGGAACAATGTGGGGGGTTCTCTCTGTTGAGAATGCCACATCCACTTCTAATTGCTCTGCAAGGATCTTGCCAGTCCAACCCTGCGGCTATGCCACTGCCTTTCCAAACCTATGCAACAAGCTGCTTCCGTCTTCATTCGGTCCCAAAGCTCATCACTACAAGAGCAAAGAACACTCAGAATCGCCCCGTGGCTCAGCCTGAATACTTCTAGCCGCTGCCACCGCACATGGTGCCTGACATTTGTTTCTTCAAAGCTGTTCCGATAGCTTGCCCTGCCACACCTCCGCACCTCAACCAGTGCATCTCGTAAGGCGAAATTCACTCGGATCTCACCCGAGGAGGTCTTCTCTTGCAGAAACTTTGCTCTCAGGAGGTGACTCCTCCCTGTGAAAAAAGTCCGCTTGCCTGACGGCAGGTTGGGCACTGAAACTTCCCCGCGGCCCGCGCCACCTCGAAGAAGCATTGGTTCACATGCGAGATGGCTATACATCACCATATCCCTGGCGACCCACTACTCCCCAATACTGGCAAGACTCGTTGAGGCTTCGCATTGCTTCCCCCCAAGTCCCCTTAATTCCCCTTAAGTACATGGTGGATGCCCTTCCGCCACTTGAGCCTGCTCCAGGCAGCTGCTGCAGAAAGTATGCCCACAATTCAGAACCTGGTTGCAGACTTCTTGGATCTTCTTGGTACAGCTCTGTGCAACATTAGATGCTGTGCAATTCTGCCTGCGGCACGCGGCTTGGCAGCACATAAGGCTGGAAACCTGCAAAGAGCAAAAACAGCTTCTGCAACGAGTTGGACAGCATCTTTTATTCATAATTGTGTAACGTCATCGGTAGCTGACTCAGCCCAACGCAAACCGGGCAGTCCATGGGAAATGTGATGCGGGTAGTGACTTTGTATCGACAAACTTGTTGCGGGTGTTCTGTGCTTCGCTCCTCTGTCTTGCGTGAGAAGGCTGCAGGCATTGAGTTTTGTTTCTTATACCCAGGTTGTACCTATCCCCCTTTACAAAGCTCTTCAGGCGCGGCAGCTGGTCAGCGGATTATGAGCGCAACATGCAAACAGCACCTGTGTGCTTCAATGCCAAACCGAGATTGGACAGATGGTGCGTCGCGCACATTTTTTACTGTCGACCATCTCCTGCTTCTGAGCGACATCGTCTGCACTGGCAAAAGAAGCCGTTGTTTTGCAGCAAATACCTGGCAGGTAGCCACGTCGTCGCATTTCTGAAACCCCAACATGCCACAACCAAGACTTGTACAGTATCAGTTGAGCAACTCGCGTCGGCGCGAAACGGGCCACTGCAGCAAATCAGGCGCCCCATAATTCACCACCAACGCCTGGAAGACAGCAAGCAAGATTCTTTGCTTTTTGCTTGTTCTATCGACTTGCATTACCTACAAAGACCCAAGCACACTACAGCAAACCCAGTCCAGTAACTTGGGGTCTCATACAAAGACCCAACGAAGTGAAGTAGAAGCTGATGGGCTAAGGGCGAAAAATTCTATTATTGTGTGGGCTAATGGCAAAGCGTAAGGAGGACTGAAGAAAAATGCGATTCATACATCCAGGGAGCATCTCCCGGCTCCAGGTCTCGATTGGCTTCGACAACGCAATTGCCGTCGTCAGGCCTTGGTTTAGCAACACGCTCCAAGTACATGCCATCGCACTCTCATCGCTCACGGCGATATGAGACGGAAACATGAAGACAGCAAAAAGTGCAGTTGCCACCGAGCTGCACCTGTGATCCAGGCTGCAGTGGTTGGAACACTTGGCGAAGTCGAACGGTGGGATCACACGAGTGGTTCAGGCGGCTAACCTTGCTTCTGGCTTGCGAAGCTCGTCCAGACAAATGGACGGTTCCAGAAGCAGACTACTATTGCGAACACCACGAAGTCTACAATTGCCACTACTACCACCAGCACCACCACCACCACCCCCACCACCCCCACCACCCCCAGCACCACCACCACTACAGACTATTACTACGACCGCCACGACTTCTACTGCTGCTACCACTACTGCTACTACTACTACTACTACTACTCCTACTACTACTACTACTACTAGTACTCCACCACTAATTCTACTACTGCTACTACTGCTATTATTACCATTACTACTACTACTACTACTACTACTGCGAAAGAATGCTCCACAACAGCCCCTTTGGACAATTCGGAATTCAGGCTCAGATGCAAGAGAGAATACGGCATAGCGTTCTGGCTCCATGCTTGAAGAAACCTTCTGCAGGAAGCCTGATCGGTTGCAGAGACCATGGCTGAAAAACCCTCAGAGCAAAGAACAGGCGTGCAGCAACACGAACACAGGCGATGTTTCATGCCATATGCTCAGACATGTAGCGATTTGCTTCCCAGCGCAACAAGACACCAGTTAGATTCTGAACTTCAGAAGCATTTGGCTCTTGAGATCTTCCGAATGTGATAGCCTCCCAAGCAACCAGGACAACAAAGCACTGAGTTTCAAAAAGCACACAAAAAAGGCGCGTGTCATGCCTGCCACACCTCGACAGCCTGTGCCTGAAAGGGGCATGGCCACAGCAGAGTTTCGAGTGTATGCCTTCAGTCATCCAGCCTCTGTTCGGGCTCGGGACTTACAATCAAAGCCTTCGCCCGCGGAGAGAGACTGGAAGGCTTCAAATGCGTTACCTTCACGGCGGTCATCACCGAATGTCTGGAAAGCGCCTCTTGATTAGATCCCACGCCAGCCTTCTGCAACATCTTCCCGGACAGCCCGCATCTTGAAATAAGCTCTGCAAACTTCATTGACATCATTCGCGGTGAGTAGAAATGGCAACTCCTGTCCATGCAAGCCACGCGCTTTAAAGTAAGTTTGGTACATGAATGTCTACTACATTTATCCCTTCACACTTCAGGGTGCAAAGTGCGCTGGGCTCTGGCAGGTGCTCCTCGAATATGCGGCTGCCAGTAGCGAAGGATGTCACGGCTTGTAAGCCCTTTCCTGATTGAGCTGTGTTCACAACCAGGATGTTTGATCGCGATGGCTTTGGTGTCGCGTTCTTGTGCCTGCCAGGGCGACAAACACGCACGCTACTCCAATAGCAGACAGTCAGCAAGGTCGGCTGGCTCGGGGATTGAGCCTTTAAACCCAAACCTTGTCAAGCCATGATTGCCGGTCGTCGGCACACAAATTCGCCAAGGTGCAGGATGCAGTACCCAAATTGCAGGCACTGCTCCGGAACAAGGGCTGCTCGCCCGCTAAAGCGTGGATGCAAAAAGCGAACCAGCCACCTTCAAAGAGCAGTTGCCAAAGTAAAACTTGCAGTGTCAGGTGTTTTGCTGCCGAATTTGTGCCGCTGCCTCCCGGATGCATCAAATGTGAGGGCTTCACCTGGCTCTCCTTCAAGCTCTTGTGACACTCCTGCACAGCATAACTTTGAAGCTAACCAAACCTGACAGCAATCACGTTCTTCCAGAAATGCCCTCTGAAAGGGCCTGTCAAGTAGACTGTCGATCCCTGAGGAAGCCGCATTTGCAAGCCATGGATTGCGCAAGCTGCGACACGCGCAGCCCGGCGACCGCTGGCGGGCTTGTGGGAAAGCACAGTTTGCACCATTAGCGCTGAAGCTGCGGATACCGCCGCTCGCCCAACAGTTGATTGCGAGCATGGCTGCCGGCGTCTGCGCCAATCTTGCACAATTAGTGGACACGGCATCCAACAGCGCAATCCAGTGTTTACGGCCGTTGGAAGCATCTCCATTGCACTATCCTGCGGGCCCACGTTCTGGCCAGCAACATAATATGCTTCTGATGACGTGTACGTATTCAAACGGCCAGTGCATCGCATCTTAGCGTAGCTGACGACACATACATTGTCTTTTGCTTTACGGAGAAGCGTGGATTGTGGATGTTTGACTTGCAGCTTAGCTTGAATCAACGTCCAAGATTGCATAAGATTGCATAAGGGAACTGGCTGCTATGCGTCAGCTGCAGGGAAGGACAAGAAGTGATCACACCGTGGATGGGGAAGGGCAAAAATTTGAGGTTGACAGCTGCTGGAACGTTGCAGCCACATTTCAAATAATGCAAACGCGGATTCATTAAATCTGCTCTCAATTGCTTCCCGCCCAAAGCAAGCCTTGCTCGAGATTGGGGGCGGGCATTCCTCGATTTACATAACATTCAGGAATCAGCTAGCTCATGAAAGTTGATTAGTCATGACGGGTCAGGTTATTTTGAGGTGATGCCACCCTTTAAAGCATGCAAGTGAGCTAAGGGGTGCAGATCATTGAGGAACGTGCGGGCTGTTGATTCATCGCAAAATGTAGTAGCTTCCTAGTTCAGACTCAGGCATGAGGTAGCATTGCTTTTCCGTGGTCTGTGATCTGTGATTCGAAGACAGTCCTTCTAGCTCCACATGCATCAAATCGTGACTGCTGGGGTCGGTCAAGAAAGAGATCTCCTGCGACTGCGGGGAGTAAGCCTACCTGCGCAACAATTCCCATGCTCAAGCTTTGCTGTTCACTGGTTTGCCTGCCGTTCAATCTGACGGAAACGGATGCTGTCTGCGCAGGTTTCTGCGCAGGTAGCGCTGCTCCACCTACTTTGGCCCGTGGCTGGGTGGCTAAGTTGTTAAAAGTTAGCAGCGTACCTCAAGCTGGCACATATGCTGCTTGAAAATTTGCTTGCTCCTAAGGGATGTGCGGAAGTTCCGGAATAGCTTGGACATGGACTAAGGTGTACATCCCTTATAAGAGTGTAAAACATCGTCGTAAACTCAAAATGCACAAATTGTGCTCATGCATGTTGACGCTGACGCCAGGCGCCTAATGCTCTGGTACATGCATGTCACTTTCTGCCGGTTGCGAAAGCCTTTGGCTGAATCGCTGCGGCTCGAACTGAAGAGTTCCTGCCATGTTCATGCATTCCTCCACTCTGATAATTTGTCTGCAGGATACAAAGTACGAGAACGTGAGGAATGTGGCGACAAGCGCGAAGCTTGTCTGCGCCACCATGGCGAACACATTATGAAGCAGCGCAATGTCTGAAGCATACTGACATGCAGCAGATATCCCGGCAAAGAGCACGTAGCTGGCCTCCGCCTTAATTCCCAAAGAACTGTTTGCTACCTTCAGTAGAAGCGTCGAATACGCCAGGTTCAGGGATCCATAGAGGAATAAGGATGCGAAGTGTGGCCAGTCTAGGGTCCAAAGGACACGAGCTTCTTCAGGAAAGATGAGGGCTACCGGACTGAACATGATGAGTCCCACTCCGCCTGACCAGGTCAACATCACCGTGTGATGGACTGTACCACACAGATTCCGTTGCACCAGAGCAGATGTTGCCATCGCCAAGGCTGCCAGCAAGCCCAGCACCGTGCCAAGCAGCGCTGATTGGCTACTGTGAGCTGCAGCTCCAAGCATGGGCAACATGGAGAGAAGGAGCCCGACAGAGGCTAAACTCTCATCCCACTCAATTTGTTCCTTGAGAACGCACTGCTTCAACACTGCGCCGAGGCTGGGAACAGTTGCAAGTCCTATCAGCACGAAAGTTCCAGGTGCTAAGTGCAGACCACCACAAAGGAGCATAGAACTGGCACTGACCGAGAAGGTGCCCAGCAGCATCTGAATGGCTTGCTCAGGGTTGTCTGGCAGTGCAGATGGCTTCCTTGGATGAAACCTCACTAGGGCCACACCCGTAAAGGCAAGCATGACGAATCGCGCATAGATAAGATCCAGGACACCTATGCCTGCTTGCAAGTTTGCGTGCTCTGCAAGGTTGGCACCAACGAGGCTTATTGCCGCCAACAGCGTGGAGAAGAAGCGGCTATGTTCAAAGCCACGAAAAGATGCCAACTCTCCAACCAGCACTAAGCTGCAGATGGCAGTTGCAACACAGAACACCAGCTGGGGCTGCGCAACCACATCAAGAGATGATGCCACTTCAAGCAGCGTCTTGGCTGTTGTCCAGTGGTGCCTGCTCTCGGCTTGCAACGCGCCCCCAAGCACTTGAGATGATGCGTTGAACTTTTCGACTGCTGAGAGCTGGCTCGCCTTCCAAGCTCAGCATGTTTCTTCCAACAAACAAACACCTCGAACGCAACAAGTGTTGCCAAGCCACCTTTAGGAGCTCTGCTGAATGTAGAGTAGCGTTGGGTGCCTTTGCAACACACGGCGGTGTAAGTCGACAAAAGCTACTTCAAGCTTATTTGGCAATTCAGTCGAGGCACCTTCGATTGTGTCTTTGGAGATGGTCCTGCAAGATCATCGTGTCACCATGCGTTGATTGATTGATTGATTGATTGATTGATTGCCTGTGGGTCACGCGGACCCTTGCTTTGCAAGGCATCGACTGCTGCACCGACAGTTGCAGAGCAGCACGGATAACATACCCTAAACCCTAAACCCTAAACCCAGCATAGAACTTTTGATGTCAGCTTCCACAGTGGGGCACCAACAACACGCACGTGGAAGGATGATCAAACTTCTTCGACAGCAGCACTGGTGTCAGCCCAACGCACTGTGTGGCTACTCTTTGCGCACGTCAGGTTGGGCGAACGGCGCATAGAACTTGCAGGTAGGTATGTCTTCATAGCCGCAGTCAACAATCCGTCTGTTCGACTTCCCGTCCTCTTGGAAGCTGCAAAAGGCCCGAGGCATCATCGTCACATGCCTCCTACAATGAGACTGCAGCACAATCTAGCGCATACCTACTCAAAAATCCATCCCGTTGCGCTTATTAATTTCTGCACTTCGTGCGTTTCTGTCCTGCACTGTGGCTGCGGCGACAATCAGCCAGCACAGCTGCAGCTGCCAACGCATCAATGGAGACCTGCAAGAGACTCACAATCTCATCAAAAGACATTGCCATGCGGAAGTGTGGCGCTGTCTCTAAGCTTGCTGAAGCCCTTGCTGCATTGTACATCCAGCGACCCAAACCACCGGCCTGTTCGGTAGGACGGGTGAAAAAACTTGAGCAACCAAAGAGCAGCGGCGGGAAACACATGATCCGGCAAGCCAGGCTACGACCCAAGCAAAAGATTGAGTCAGACCTGCTGCTGTGCTGCGGCTGTTGGTGTTTTGCTAGCTTCAAAACAGATCGCGAGACCCACCGTCGCGCGGCTAAGAACAGTCAGCCATGTCTTAAACAAGGCTGACCATTTTTACAGGCATCTCTGTCTTCTGAATCTACACCTTGTAAACTTGCGCATGCGACTACATAAAGAGGCAGCCTCGAATCCCTCAGAGATTGAGGCCAGGCTGGCTACTCAGCACCTACGACCTGCGAGGCGCCAATTGCCTGCACTCACAAACGACGGCGATACAGAGATCAGATTTTCCTCATCACGGGGCTGAGCTTGCCACGCTGCCCGTCTCATGTGGTCAAGCTGCTGGATTTTCTGGAGTCTTAACAGCGACTCTTGCACCTGAGATCGTTCGCAAAAGGTAGTCATGCCAGTGCATTTCTAGCGCAGACGCAAAGCCTTTGCACGTATGTCACGCACACGCACATGTCATGTGGCTGCTCCGGCATGTTGGAGTGATGCACCTTGTCCCCAGTTGGCTCAAACTGCATCACTTCCGGGTCCTGCAGCCTCGGGCCGCGCCTTGGTTCTATTCATCTACATACACAAATGCCGCATACATGTATATAACGATATAGAGCTATCTATATATGTATATTGTATCTCTTTTTGACTGCACAATGTGACCCTCTTGCCACACGACTGCTGAATCTCAGATTGAAAAGACAGTCCTGATGCAAAGATTCCATGGGCTGAGATCCCTCTTGCAGCCTGAAGGCTCTGCAGACAGCGTACGAGGCTTCACCTTCCAGCACGGTTGATTGGCTGGCTCTTTTTGCCGATCACTCTCACCTGGAGCTGCTGGACCTGCCACCTCCACCGTGGCATTTGCTCGCGCCTGCCATGCTTCCCGCTCGTCATCAGGTGAATTTGGTGATTTTTTTGCATGGCTGGGGCTGCGCACTGAGCATTCCAGAGCTCTTGCCTCGACAAACGAATCAACTTTTGAATGTGCCATCATGCCCAGATTTCTGCAAATGTTGCGAACAGCCCTCAGATCGTGCCAAGCGTCTGCTCCTGTTGCCACCGCCAGAGCTCCAGGCCCCTCCCCCCCGCGTTGGGAGGGCGACCTCTCGCAGCCCTGCAGCACAAGAGACAACCCATCTGAGGAACAGAACTTTTGGTCACTCAAATTACTCGAACTGCCTCACTGCCAAGAACCAACGGCCGTGTCTCAACTTAAAGGACTCTGCTTGTGTCCATCTCAAGCATTTGTGAGCAAGGTAGATCGGCCTGCTTCCTTGTGCTCCCTTGGAGGAGACCACAGGAGTTGTAGGTCTTTGTTGGGAATGTAACACCTGGCACGTCAGCCATTCGCTTTCAGGTTCCATGCAGCCAGCAAAACACCGCATTCTTACTTTCCGAGCCTTCCCGCCGTATGGTCCGCAGCTTGTCTCAACCCTGCATCCAAAAAGTGCCTCAGATTACAGCTCAAGCTCTTTCACTAAAGAGCAGCCGTGTGAGAAGTGATTAATAGACCAGCCTTGAAAGGCGGACTTGTGGCATACAAGCTTGCCGTGTCCATACGTCAATGTCATAGTCAGCTGAATGCCGAAAGTATTTATGATGAACGCCGGGTCTGGGCATATCTGAGCAATTGCTGGTCGAATGGGCCAAACCAGATAATATTGGAAGGAACAGTTGCACAGCAAAAATAGCGGTAATTGCAGAAGTAGCTGCATCATAATAGCTGCTGACACGTTGTTTTGCGCAACCCTCAGTAGAGCCTATACATTAGGCTAACATGGAAGCTTCCGAAAATAAATCTAAATAGAGGGACCCCGATAAAGATCCCCAAACACTACAGGCCTCATTGTTGGGACCCTCAAAATGGTACCCCTGGTGTTGGGAAACCTCCACATCTACTGACTAGCAATGAAGGCTTCTTCCTGCAGAATAATCTCCAAGGTCTGGGCTTGATCAGGCGCTGTAACCGTTTCCAAATTGGCGATGATCTGGGGCATGCCCCTGCCAGCCAGCACTGCTGAAAGGCTCCCATTGCCTGATCTCTCTCCATCTATACATGATATGAATATATATACGCATATATATATATATGGTCACCCCCCAGAAATCCATATTATATTGAAAGGTCTTGCATCCGATCCTAAATACAGGTATTCGTACTCTTTGTTTGACCCCCGGAATCCGAGTTGACTGATCGCACCAAAAAAGTAAATAGAAAATAGTAGTAACAATAATAATAATAATAGTCCAGTCCAAAATATTGCCGAGGCCTGAACTTGACAGCAGCAGCAAGGCCGTATACCCGAAAAGATTAAATCCTGAAACCTAAAACCCTTGCCCCTAGACCCCAAACCAGAAAGAGCCTAAACCCTGAAACCGCGGTTAGGGCACTAAGTACCTGGAACAGTTCCGGCTTTGCTTGAAAGCCCGCGTGCCCTTAGGCAGGCGGTGGGGTAAATTATCCCTCGAACCCCATGTAAATCTGCAGTACATAAGAAGGAATTCATATCGAGAAGCTCACAGACCCAGGACTTGAGAAACAACAGGATGCGGGGGCTAAATTGAAGCAGAGGATTTATGAAGCGAAGCCAGGAACCTAGCATATGCAAACTCCCGATCGAGTGGTTTACACAGAAAACATGAATGCCCGGGAAAGGAGAATCGAGGCTGTGGATTTGTAGAAATCCCAATCAACCTGCAGCTAAAAAAGAACACAGGAGTTGAAAATCATGATGAAGTGTGAAGCGCATCTTGTAAGGAACGAAAAAAGACAGGAAGAGAATTACCCATGTAAATTTGAAGCACATGCGAAAAGGCAGAAACCCATGACCTCAGAATCACCCTTCAAGTTTGTAGCATCTTTATGAAGGGGTTTGTTTGCAGAAAATCAAGCCCAGGCAATCAAATGTGAAGCACTTCCTGTAGCAGCTTCATGAAGAAAACCAGGTGCCGGAAGACGTGGAAGCACACAGAGCAAGGGTCTACGGCATAGCGTATGGGTCTATGTGCCCAACATCAAGAACCCAGGATTTGAGAAGTACAGTATCAGTATCATTTCGATTTCAACCACATGTGCCTACGCAGAGAAGATCAGGAATCCTGGATGGGGAAACCGCCATTGTAAATTTGAGGCATCCTTACTAAGGGGTTTGTATAGGGACGACTGAGCTCAGGAAAGGAGAATTCTTATTTCAACTTGAAGCACATTGAGTGAAGGCATCATACTGTCAAGAAGAGCCCATCTCAAACGCAATCAGTAATCGACTTAGGTATATAAGCGACATGAAGGCTTACGAAAGAAGAATTAAGGAGCAAAATTTCGACATTCAAAACCAAATCAGAAACTTAGGATCTTCGAATTCCTGATAATTTGTAACACATCTACAGTAGTAAGGGGTTGACAGTTATAAACGAACCAAGAATCTCAGAATGACCCTCCAAATTCCAAGCATCTTTACTAAGAGAACCACACAATGAAGATCAAGCCCAAGAAAGGAGAATTCCCTTATCCATTCGAGGCTGTATTTCTCACCCTCACCAACTTCTACATGAGACAAAACTCAAAAATATGAGACCCAGAACCGTCTAAACATGCAACTGAAGACGGTGGGGCGAGCACGCACATGTATATATATATAGAGAGATGTATAAGCATCCCCTGCACAAAATGTCTCCGAAGCTCATGCCGGCGTGTCGCTGCCCAGCGGATCGAAAGTCCTGACATCACTCGCGATGATTGAAGGACAGGCAGCACCACTGCACACAGAGGTGCTGGACAACGACTTGCCTCGCTTTGGTGCCACAGCCTGGCGGAGCGCTTCACGGAACCTGGCACCCCGCCAGGCTGGCGCAGCGCCCTGCAGCAGACAGCTCGGGGATGCTCGAGGCTAAGGTCTCCAACGTTCCTGCCTTATCATCCAGGGCTTTGCCACGAAGTCGAATTCGGGTAGTGACCAATCGCCCTTGACCCTTCAGCAACTTACAGACCTCACAGAAACAGCTCTGGGCTTGAATTGAATGCAGCCGATTCAATCATCTGCCCAGTGGCCTGCAAATTGCCACAGTGGCCATCCTCCTGCATTGCAAGAGTTGAAAAGCTGAATACTTAAGCTCACAGACATTCAGCCACAGTACCGGCATAGGATAGGCATCTGCGCTAGAATGCGACCTGCTAGAGAAAATGAGTCGGTGACACGAATCAGTATGTAAGCGAAGTGTCGGTGCTATTGCTCCTCCAGCTCGTCTTCGGACTCGTCATCTCCCAGCAAGGACCAGCCTGCCTACAGAACTGACTGTGGCAATCTGCAACCTCTGCATCATGGAGGCAGGCAGCAGTGCGCCTCCTCTTTCTGTTGAAGGAAGGGGCAAGGCAGGCCGAACCCAGCGGCTGAGGCCTGCAAACCATCAACCGCTCATAAAGACATAAGTCTGCGTGAGCAACGCGAATAAAGCACCTCCGCAAGAGCTTGCATGAGCCTGCACAACGGTCGTGCTGTCGTTTCTTAACTCAAAACTATGCAAATGTGCTCGATCCCTGCCTCGGATCCTGAAGCATGTCGGACACTCTCCTCGCCGTCTCTGTGGAGTCATCTGTAGTCGGATCTGGCAGATAGGTACATCACAACTGATGTTGCTCTACACCGCAGGCATGGAAGGAAATACCATGTGATCTAGGTCTGTTGTTCAGCGAATCAAGTCAAAGCATCAGCTCTCCAGTCATGGGCGCAATCTCAACACCAGGTGCTGAAAGTTCAAGCAAATTCCCCGAAAGCAGCCGCAGAAGGGATCATGCGAGTTCAGGCGTACGGAAGCGCCTGAACAAATAGCATATGCACCGACCCCGCTCAGGGCGTCTGGTGCCCAGTGAAGCAAAAATTCCTTCGCCTACCTAAGCTGCCCTGGGTGCCCTCATTTCGCCCCTAGGATCAAATCTTAGTTAGGGGCCTACCTATGGATACCTATGGAGCGTTGACACCTGCTTTACCAAAGGTGTCAGGAACCCTGAAGCCAGAGTTCCGCACTGGTGCATACAGCCACCACTTGTGCAGGCTGTCTTTAGATTCGTCCGGTCTCTTTTGCAGGTTCTGTGGAGCTGCGCCCTTATAATGGGAAACCTCAGCGATCTCTCCGGGGTTGGCGGAGGTCCAGGGTCAAGGAGCTACCCTCTGAGGCAAACTTGGCGTAAGGCTGTTCAGCTTTTGGGGTAAATGCATGCTCATGCCGGGCTGGAAAACTGACGGTTGCACGAGAGGCAGCTAATGAAATGGCTAGCGGCTGTTGGCAGGAACATGCCGAGCTCACTCCACTTCAGCTCCATTGCCAAGTCCAGAGAACGTGCGTCCCTTTCAGCTTCTGCAGACTTCTCGAAAACAAACGCCTGTCAGTCACTGCCAGTCTGAGCGAACACTCACCTTGACACTGAATGCAGCTGACAGTGAGCTGACCTGCGCGCGCCGCCATGCTAGCTCGCGCAGGGCTTGATCGTCGCCATCTCCCGCAAGATCCTCCAGCTCGTCGTCGTCGCCTCCATCCAACTCGAAGTGATGCAAACGAAACGCAGAAAATCTGAGAATCTAAGGCTTCCACCAAAGCGCACGTATCTTGGAGCCACGCGGTCCCTAAGCAGCCAGTAAAGACCATCCAAGTTGAGCATCGAATCCAGCAATCAGTGGCCATGGCGACTCTGCAGGGGTTGCAGCTGCAGCTGCTGCCTGAGCACCTGCAACGGTGAGCACTTGGTGAGATCAGACTGTCAAATCCCTGCCTGCCATTCCTAGTTGTGCTACCAGGTGTTCGCCAACGTTTGCCAGGGAATTCACCCAGGAGGGGGCCTGAAAAAATCTCACTTCCCATGAGCATCCATGAGCAGATGACCAAAGAGTCCTGGCCTCGCTTACGCGCAATCGCTTCACGAATGACACGCTGAAGTGCGCACAATTACAGCCTCGGCCGTGAAAATCGGTACTCTTCAGCATGAATCCCGTTCTCCACACATACCTGCACTGCTAAATAGCAGTCTGTGCAGAGTGAGTTCAACCGGCGAAGCCCCTCCGCTGCTTGGACACGGAAAAAAAAGACTTGGTGTCTCTTGCCAAGCCTGAGATTCAAAGTCGCCGCAGCTGCGGATGCCTGAATAACTCTGATATCTGATGCAACCAAGGGGACCAAGGAAAACCTGCGTGTCATCAGGACCCTAACAGCAATCCGACACTTCGCATTTGCAGGTGACACGCACAAAACCACAACCAGACTCTTCGAGCTTGGTTGATTCCCAGCATGGCCAAGGGACAGTTCATACAGAACACCTATTCGAGCTAAATTCAACACCTGAGAAAACACCTCCTGCAAACAGCAACATACCCATGGCATTCAACCCACAAGCTGCAAGCTCATGCAAATTCGAGGCATCGCATGCGAAGCTCAATGTGTCAGTACTCGGATGTTTCAATCATATCCATTATGAGGTCCGACATGCCATCAACCTGGATGCGTGAGCACGTGCTGATTTTCTGCCATGCAGGTCCCGTGCCCTGGCAGGGACAGCTGTGATAGCGTGGCCGCGGAAAATGATCCAACCGAATTGGGGCACCAGACTTTGCCATCGATGTCTACGTCGATTCGCATTAGTGCGGACAGCTTGTGGAGTTTGTGTTGTTCCTCCTCCCTAACGCCATCTAATCGGAGTATTGCGTCTATTGCTCGCACACGCATGATCGTCTCGCTCGTAGCTAGGTGCGGCTCTGTTCGAGGATAACTACCACAGAGCGACATGTTATCCCACACTGTGCAAATCACACAATAGAACCAACGAAGCCTCAAAACTAGTACCTTCGACCCGTTATGAGCTGATACGAGCTGGCCATCAGGTCCGAACGCAGGAGGTCGTAGTTCGAGCCAGGCAGCTCTTGCCTAAACAACAGAGGCAGCAAATACCTTGCTGCATCTTGACACGCATGGTGGAGGTGCTGGCCGCATTTTATCCAGCACGCGAAAAACCTGCACTACGCTCAACCATGTTACTTCGACAGACATCAACATTTTCTTGGCGCACACAAGAATGGAATAGACTGGATATCTAAAGCCTCCTCTGGTGTGAGCGGTGTTCGCCCCAGCGGAACTCTTTCACGGAAGGTACCAAGGGTACTTTGCTGCGGGAAGACCTCGGCAAACAGCCTTGCCACCCGCATCTCACATGTCTTGTTTGGGCTCATGCCATATAGACACCACTTCCCTCTTCGCACCATCCGAAAGACCACTCGAGCCAGTAAACCTCCCACTCAAGAATCGAAGGCACATGCTGCAGACACCGCGACATTCCAAAGACGGTCAGCAGCCTCAACCCCGACATGGTAAGCACCTTCCAGGAAGCTCCACATGTGACCCAAGCAAGATTCTGCACATTGGCCTCCCATGTCTGCAGCTCTGGTGAGCAAGTTGAGGGCGGACGTGCCGTGCAGCTCATAAATCGATAAAGCAACCTGCGACATAAAAGAAAGGATCCCCTTTAAAGGGGTAGTAGGAACATGCAAGACTATTTCAGAGAGAAAAAGCCTCGGCCCAAGGAGGTGGGATGCGCGAAGCGACGCTCTGGTGAGCAAGCTGCATGCCTTCTCATGGAAAGAGCTTCGAATGGGCAATCATCCACACCGCACAGACTGTCAGCCCCGGCTCAGCCGACCTTCGGAATGTTGACTTAGTCAACAACTCGCAGAATGGCATGGCCATCACGAACTACTGCGAACAAAAGAACCATTGCCTTGTTCCCCATACGGTGTGGTACAATCATAAGCTATTCACGATTCTTTCACTTGGCCATGACGCTGCAAAGCTGTCGATTGTGACTCAGCAGCCCCACCCTTGACGCCATCAAACATGCAGCGGATGATCAGGAAAATCACAGCTTCAAATAAGCGCAAAGAAAGACAGGCGAACTGAATCTGTGAGAAACATGTCTCAAAACCTGCGTTTCGGTGTTGGGAGCAGGGACGGGACACAGATGGACACAGAACGCTAGAGACTTGAAGCACTTGAGCTTGGAGTGCAATCGGAGGCTCTTGCAATTCTTGCAAAGCCAACAGCCGGACGTGCTGCGCCATGTCTTCAAACAAATTCCCTGCGGTGACTAATTGTCTGAGAAGCGGTTCATGTCACATGAAAACCGCCGAGAGCATAAACTAAAATACTGTTCTGAAGGACACGCAGCCCCATAAACACAACCGGAGTTTACGTTTACCCTGCCGGCTGAGAACGTCAGGCACCAAGTTCAGGTGACGCCAGCAGCATTCAAATCAAATGTTGCTGAATCTTGTGTGAATTGCTGCCTTTGCCAATTCATTGAGCGCTGTAACATCGTTACATAGCATTGCTCTATGCTGCTGCTCAGCAACGCGTGTCTGAGCAAGCAGGGAAAGATGTTGCATCTCCATTTGGATTTGTGAACATGCTTCAGATTCTGAATCTTCATCTGACTAGGTAAGGATTCTGCACCGACACAGGCAAGAAGCAAATACTGTTTTTTTCTCGCCTTCCGGCATGACTGTCAACTCAGCGTCCCAGAACTCAACGCGCAAGGTCCTCAAAAGCCGTACATGGCCGCATGAACATGAACAAAAACTGCCATGAAGCTGCTCGCCAGACAAAGTTAGCTTTATGAGCTTCTGCTCTTCACACAAAAGAGTGGTCTCGCATGTTTTACGAGGATCCACAATGTCTCCTCCACCTTGCCAGCCACAGAATGCCCGTTTTATGCACATCAGCTTTGCTGTCAGCGGTGCATCACAAGGAACTGATGTGAACAAATCAACTTACGCGCGCAAGAAAACTCTATCTCGAGCTCCCAGGCAAGTTTCCTGGATAAAAGCGCTTGAGACCGCAATGCGATCAAAGAGATGCCAGTGGCATTAACTCGAGTTCATGCGTTACGTTCTGCGCAGCCCCCAGGCAGATTGCAAAATGCATGACCATCAACTGCACGCACGGAAATGAACTATTTTCGACGCTCCCGCATCTAGGTCACCACACCTTCTGGAAGGTCCCAGCAAGTCTCTCCGGTGTCCTCCAACTTTGTAGATGGTTCGGCTGATGATGCTTGGCCTAATGATGTGGCCGAGGCCTCGTTCAGGTAGTAGAACTCTCCAGGTGCCTGTGAACTTGCTTACTGCAATGCTTCAACAGGACTGGCATGCTGCAGCTTGAAAGAATAAGCTGCATGGCTTCAGAAGAACGACGTTTTTGGGCAGCATGGCATGTCATGCTTGCAGATTGAAATGCAAAGCTAAGGACCTGAGGCCTTTTTTGAAGCATCTTAGCGCAATTATCCATGTGGAAGTGACAGCTGATACCAAATCACTTCGCTCCAAAATGTTCCTGCAAAGCCAACCGCGCCAGGCCTCTGGATGCTCAAGAAGCGTCCATGGTGCAGGTAGCTTCGACTCCTCGGGCGATACAAGAGGGGTGAGGGGCGAATCCGAAGGATCCCGAAGGATCCCGAAGGGGCGAGTCCGGAACTCGCAGCGATTGAATCGGGAACCCCAAACTGCGAGTCAGGAACCCACAAGGGGCCAGTCAGGAACCGTGGCAGCGACGAGACAGGAACTCCCGCTACACAAAAACATGACATGACTCACACGACCAGACTAAGCCGACCGGACCAACACGACCAGACCAAGCCGACCAGGCCGACTCGACCAAAACGACCGAAACGACCACCACTACCGACACGACCAAAACGACCAACACGACCGACACGACCGACACGACCAAAACGACCAAAACGACCGACACCACCGGGGCACAACCCACCCAACCGATCAGCCGACAAGCCTATCAGCCGGTCAGCCGATAATGAGCCGATAAGCCGATCACCGGAAATCTCCAATTTCAACTTCTTGTACTTCTACCATTTACATGAACTCTAAAGAGTTCGTGCACCTCATACCCCAAACCCTGAAGCCTGAACTGCGGTGGACCTGATAGGAACCATCCTTGGACCAATGGGACGATGATAACTAAGCTCAGAACTCCTCACCAACTTGGACTGATGAGGCGCAGTTTGGACGAGTAGGAACAATCCTTAGACTAATCGGAATGATCCTTGAACTAATGGGATGTTTTTTTACATTCGGAACTCCTCACTAGCTCGGACTGATGTGGCACATCTTGAACATGCCGCGGAAGTGCAGTCCCTAAATCAAAATCGGCACGGCACTTTTTTGCGGTGTTGGGGAGACGCCTATAAGGCGAGGGGTCCTCAAACGCCTCAAATCCCCGAGGGCCGGACGGGGCGCTCCAGCACCCGCAGCCCCCCTCGCCCTTTGGGCGGTGCGTAGCCAACGCCTGTGGCGTATGAACAACTCGCGCAAGAGGAGTACATCTTCCACGCCAGGACAAGGAAGGTGCACCGCCCAGACAGGGCGGAAGCCACCAACGATAGACCACTCTGGCGGGCGGCCGGTTGTGGCTGGATGTATGAATTTCTATCGTGTTATCGAAGTCCCCGAAGGGGTAGAGCGGTGCAAGCGGTGCTTCCGGCCAGAGGCCGACAACCGCTCACCGACACCTGAGGCCTCACCAGTGGAGGCATCTAGCTCCAGCTCGGGCGGATCATCCGACAGCTCCTCGTCCAGCTACAAAGGTCAAGCAGCCCAAGCACCGCTCCCACCGCAGGTTTGCTCAAGCCAGCTTGTCGCTTCTTCGCCCACGTAGGGTGGCGGCGGTGGCGGCGGTGGCGGTGAAGTGGTGCATAGGATGTGCCGCCATTGCTCAAAGGCGGTAGAAGCTACTGTACAGCTTTGAGCAAGTGGACGGCTGGGGGGACCGCCCATTTGCTCCATGTTGCAACGCACACGCGTGTGCTAACGGACAAATAGGAACGATCCTTGGACCAACGGGACGATAGAAAATAACAACAGAACTCCTCACCAGCTTGGATTGATGGGGTGCAGCTTGGACTAACAGGCACCATCCTTGGACTTAATGGGCGCAATTCACGATCCTTGGACTAAGGGGAGGATAATAACTATCGTTCAAAACTCCTCACCAGTTTGGACTGATGGGGCACAGCCTGGACTAATAGGAACCGCGTGAGCGGGGAGCGCAGTTACAGGAACCCTTTTTTACCACCAAGGCCAGCAAAA